GCAGATGGATTTGAAAGCATTCAGGTAAACGTCAAGAAAAATTATAATTAAAAAATTATATTTTATTGTCTGTTTCATAAACACAAGTTGTGAGACTGAAGTACTTGCGAGTGAAAGGAGGAATATAATGAAGTAATTATTGCATGCACAGAAAGCTTAGATATTCAGGTGTATGTACGTACATACACCGCCTTTGTACGCATTTGCAGAAATAAGGGTTTGTCTACTTGTTTTATTTTCAGGATGTAGTAGACTTCATCGTTAAGGCGGGGGAAGCACAACGCAAAGGCGCTGCTGATGAAGAGAAGAAGAATTGAAATGTATATTGAGCTGTATATTGCTTAACTCCTTTATTGGTTTGAACAAGAGAAACAGCTTCAAGGGTTACCTCGAAACAACTTCACGGGTTACCTCGGGTGCTGCCTTTTTCAATTCTTGAATAATAATCCAACAGAAGGCAAGATAGATAGAGGCTTGAATAAGCGTAAAAACAACAGCTCATGCATGCATGCATGCATGCCAGGAGAATAAATTCTGCGTACTGTTTCTTCGTTGTTTGTTGCAAGAAGAATGCTGAGGCGCAGCTGCTGAAAAACAAACAGAAGGGTGTACAGCACACCCTCAGGTGTATGGACAGTGCCGTTTGCGGCTTTGAATTTTTATATTAGTTCTGTTTGCTCTTCTTGTTCGTCGGTGTAGATAATAATGATGCAGCAAATATGTGGAGGTCGGTTGGAGCCCTACTGGTAGCTGTACAGATACTTCAGCTAAAAATAAGACATATTTCCCTACATTTTCTGCCTAGAGAGAAATATCTACTAATTAATATTTTATTTCCGTTCAATTTGGCGTAAGTCGCCGCAAACTCTAGAGCAACTGTCTGTACACTGCAAACGGAACCACCGATCAAACACACTCGGCGACAAGGAGCAATTCAATACGGAAATTTCCCTAACAAAAGCACAAGATTATAAAAAATGAATTTATATTTTACAACAAAATCTGAATTATTCAGAGACGTGCTGAGGAAGGGGCATGCAAAGTGCTGTTCATCTTCTCGGCCTGTAGTTTTTCCGAGGCGAGTTTGCGAAGTAGAAGAAGCGCCCTTTAGTGTGATTCTTGAAGGGAAAGCAGAGGAAAGCAGAAACAAAAGGCTTATTATTGTTATTATTATTCTTTTCATTCAATAGAAATTCAAATTCAATGAACGGAACGGCACGCACGAGGCGATCGTCTTACCACAGACATCAACACCGCACAGTGCAGACCACCGGACGGAAACATCACCACCTCGTTACCCCCTCATTGTTTAAAGATATGGAGTTTTATATTTTGTTTTCTCTCGTTTTAATCTGCATTTCGAGGGCCTACAGCGGTTGTACTTCCGGTGTATAGCCACCATCTCGCTGCGAAGTTTGCTGCTGCCCCTGAGGCTTCTCGACACCCAGTACATTTTACCCTTCTGCATTTCCCTGGAGCTGCAGGCGCTGCAGCAAACACCAAATCGCAGACCTCTTCCTTTAAGACTGCAGCAGCAGCAAAGAGGCAACTCCACAATAACAAGACATCAACAGCAAAACCACCAGTAGCAGCAATAGCAGCAGTAGCAACAACAGCAGCAGTAACAGCAGCAGAGGTATGGCTTTCTCCCCCTCCTCCGGACCCCTGGGGCAACTTGGGGCCCCCAACTGGGATGGACATGGGCAGTACTACGCTAGGAACCTTGCAGCAGCAGCATCGCAGCATCAGCAGCAGCAGCAGCAGCAGCACCAATGGACTGAGGCGGCATATTCCCCTGTCTCTCCGCTGCTGCAGCAGCAGCAGGAGCACACGCATTATCATCACCAGCAGCAGCAGCAGCAGCAGCAACTGAGGCATGGGAGCAGCTGGAATGAGGGGAGGTCTCTGAATTATTGCAGGGGGCCGCCTCCTCTCTCTCTGCAGAGCCCTGTGCAAGAACCCTATCCTTATTTAGCATCGGTAGAAGCACCAGCATCTGTAGGAGCAGCAGCAGCAGCAGCTGCTGCTGCTGCTGCTGCTCCAGGGGGAAGGCCACCAGCTGTTCGCCTACTGACGGTGCAGCGATTGGTGAAGCCGCTGCACCGCCAGCCAGAACCGCAGCAGCAGCAGCAGCAAAATGGAGAAAATGAGGAGCAGCAGCAAACGGAGCAGCTGCTGCAGCAGCAGGCTGAGAAACCCATTTCACCCAAGGCTTCCCAGGTACGAGCGCTTCCGCTGCTGCTGCTGCTGCTAGTGCTGCTGCTGTTGCTGCTGCGTCTGTCTTCGGTGATACTGTTTTGGCTGCTGCTGCTGCCTCTACTGCGAGTGTTGCTGCTAGAACTACTGCTGCTGCTGCTGCACTACGGTTGCTCCTGCTGCTGCTGCTGCTGCACCACAATTGCTGCTGCTGCTGCTGCTGCTGATTATGTTGAAATTTGGTGCCCTTCCAGTGCTAAGGTCCCTTCGTTGCTGCCGCTGCAGACAGCCCTTGACACTGAACCAGCTCCTGCTGTTGCTACTGCTGCTGCTACTGCTGCTGTTTTTGCTGCTGCTGCTGCTGCTGCTGTGCTGCAGTCAACAGACAGCCAAAGTGCTATAGGCCTTCAGACATTTACTGTGGAGGCAGCAGAAGATATAAATGCAGATCTTGCTGCCGCTTTCCCTCTCTTCAGCAACCAGAGTGCTGCTGGTTTAGGAGTACCAGGTGCTGCTGCTGCATGCGATGCTGCTGCTGCTGCTGCTGCTGCTGTTGCCGCTGGTTTTTCAAGTGCAGCGGTGTTTGCAACACCGCAGAGACATTCTCCTGTCTCTGCTGCACCTGTATCTCCTTATCCGTGGGGTTTAGCTGCAGCCAACCCAGCAGCAGCAGCAGCAGCAGCAGCAGCAGCAACAGCAGCAGCAGCAGCAGGAAGGCGACGTCTGATTCGAATTTGTTTAGACGGCTTGCAAGACGTGCTGCCTGCTGAAGTTGTGTGGAGTGTTATTTCTTTTTGTGCTTCACTTATGAGGCTTGGTTGGGGTCCCTATACACCTGAAAATATCTCTAAAACTTTAGAGAAAGAGAGCAGGACAGAGGAGGAGGCTGACTATACACCCGAGAAAAATATAACTGCTGCGGGGAGCTTCGATCAGTCGCCAACTCGCAGCGAGTCTGAAGAGCAGCAAAACGAAGTGCAGCAGAAGCAAGCCACACCGGCAAAGGCAGACCCACTGCAACAGCAGCAGCAGCAGCAACAGCAACAGCAACAGCAGCAGCAACAGCAACAGCAACAGCAGCAGCAACAGCAGCAGCAACAGAAGCAGCTGCTGCTGCGACAGCAGCAACAGCAGCAGCTGCTGCCAGAGCTCCTTGGATGCAGTGTACGCCAGTCGCGGCCTGCCCGAGAAGCAGCAGCAGAGGCACAGCAGCTGCTGCTGCAGCTGCAGCAGGAGCAGTGGAGTGGTGCAGCCAGTTCTTGTGCAGCGCCTTCTTCTGAAGAGGCAGCAGCAGCAGATGCAGGAGCAGCAGCAGCAACAGCAGCAGATGCAGCAGAGATGGGAGAGAAGCTGCTGGCTGCTTTTCTTGAGCTTGCAGATGCTGCCTTAGAGGCGGTAGGCGCAGGGCAGCAGCAGCTGCTGCAGCTGCTGCAGCTATATTCCGCTTGCTGCTTGCTGTGTGGGAACCTTGCTGTAGACCAGGGTACTGCTGCTGCTGCTGCAGCAACAGCAGCCGAAACAGCAGCAACAGCAGCAGCAGCAGCTGCTGCTGCTGCTGCTGCTGTTGAAACAGCAAATTCCGTCTCAGTCAACACTCTGCACGATGAAGAAGAGCCAGAGACTGTCTCGAGTCCCACTCCAGAAGCAGCAGCAGCAGCAGCAACAGCAGCA